TATATATATATAATGTAAGGTAAAAGAACACTCCATGCAACACAACTACTGCAGCTCAATGTAGGGGTTTTGTTACTATAGTCTCTGCCTCCCAATCATCACGATTTCGGCAGGACAATCCTGATTTTTAGGCTCATGTTCTGCTGACCCACGTTTATTCCCTGATGTACCACTTTTGGGTACACCAGGGACGTGTCTCTAAAAAGCATATTGTGAAACAGTGATGGCTAACCTTGACACCATAAATTGTTTCTGGACTACATTTCCCATGATGCTCAACTAGCTTTTAGAGTCTAAAAGCTAGCTCAGCATCATGGTAAATGAAGTCCAGAAACAATTTATGGTGTCAAGGTTAGCCATCACTGGTGTGAAAGCATCATTAGACATGATCGAGGTATGCAACAGGTACTAGAACCCTGCAGAGAGAACTGAAACAGGGCTCCCCGCATGGTCTGCCCTCAGTGGACTGGCCTGAGTGATTGGTAGGCAACCTGCCAGTAATTTGGGTGGACATGCCCCCATTCTGGTCAGGCCCACCACCTGTGGGTGCCAGTGACGCAACTGTCCTGCTCCCTTTTACCCTGCTCACTTGCTTTCATGGGATGTCGATGGCGGGGGCTAAATAGGTGATAAATAGGCAACATTAAGTGTTGGTTTCAGCAGTTTGACTTTTGTATATATGCACTGTTTATGCACTTTTTACATTGGCATTTTCCCAGACTGGCACTTTGCGTCTTTATGATTGGGGTCCCTGTGTCACAGGTATTTGTGCAATTTATTATACCCCTGGGATCAGGGAGAGCATTAACTAACTTTAGTGTCACTTTTTGATTGTTTGAATTGTGCATTTTATATTACAATATCAGCTTTTTAAGCCATTAAGGCAAATTTTTCTTGTATTTTTGTCCTTTATAATTGTTTTCAGTTTTACTATCTACCCTCTGGCTATAATTGTCTTATTTTAAGTTGAGACAAGCTGGTAGATAAAATATACATTATGATAGTGGCGCCCTGATCTCTGTTATTGGCTCATCTTTAACTACACTGATTGTTTCTGATTAGTCAGTTTGTACTGACTCTGCGTAGGACACCGCACCCTTCAAAGACACAGCACCTGTCGCAGGCACACGTTTTGCTGCCCACCTACAATAAACTATTGGGAATGGCCAAGGAAGTGCTATAAGAAGCCAGTCTTCCCTTGTCTCAATCATTTATTGACTGTATTTTGTTATTTGAAACCAAGAGGCTGCACTCACCTAAACATGCATAAATTATGGGGTGCTGCTGGGCCAATTCATACACAGCAGCACCCTATAATATATGCATGTTTAGATGAGTGCAGCCTCTTGGGATATATATATTTCTATTTGAGAGGCTAGGCCGGTTTTGCACCCCTCCCTGTCACAGGTGCCTCATTCAAGGACCCTATTTAACCTTGAGGAAGCATTTCTCAAGTAAGTGGGTTAATCTCATAATAGCAGACATTAGGCTGCTAGAGTAGGGCATGCCAAGAATTGGGTACATTGACGTTGTGGCAGGTAGGCTAAACCCCCATTATTTTTTGTCTAGGTTAGGTGCTCTTAAATAAAACTATTCTATTCTGTTGAACTTGAAATCATTGTTTGGTGAATAAGCGAGTGCGCTAGATCTTGTATGTTGTCAGGGCCAGTGCAATCATTTTTGCCACCCTAGGCAAAAACATTTTGCTGCCCCATTCACTCCACCCACTAATGCAGACTAACACACATGCTGACTCAAGTATACACACACACTGACCCATACAAACACACAATGACCCACACAGACACACACTGACCCATAAATACACACAATAACTCACACAGACACATACTGACCCATAAAGACACACAATGACTCATACAGGCACACACATTGGCCCAAACAGACACACACTGACCCATACAAACACACAATGACTCATACAGGCACACACTGACCCATACAGAAACACACTGACCCATACAGACACACAATAACCCATACAGACACACACTGAACCATGCAGATACACACACTGACCCATGCAGACACACACAATAACCCATACAGACACACATACTGACCCATGCAGACACTCACAATAACCCATACAGACACACACTGAACCATGCAGATACACACACTGACCCATGCAGACACACACAATAACCCATACAGACACACAAACATTGATCCATGAAGACACACACCATAACCCATACAGACACACAGACTCCTACAGATACAAACACACTGAACCATACAGACATAAGCTGACCCATGCAGACTGACATACACAAACATACTGACTAAAGCAGACTAACACACATTCTCTGACACACATCTTACCATCACTGCGGTTCCTGTGTCCATCTTTCCTCCGCCTGGCTGCCTTCACTTCCAGTCCTGAGCGAGCAATTGAAGTGCCCTCACGGTGCTGCCGCAATGGATGACTGGGTGGGGACCCTGGCTGAGTGGGCTGAGGTGGATGCTGCCAGACCAATGTTTAACTGGGCGCTAATTAGCAGCAATGTAAACGCACCCTTGCGCCCGGTAACATGGCCGGCGGCACGATCTGATTAATTAAATAATCCAATGCGATAGTGGGTCGGCCGCGGCACAGATGATCATAAAGCCATTGCCCGCGCCCTCCTTAAAGCAGCGCCCTAGGCAGCCGCCTACTTGCCCTATAGGAAGCGCCGGCCCTGTATGTTGTATTTTGTTATTGACTATCCTAATTTCCCTACTCCTGACCCGGTTCTTTTATTCATCAATCTGTTTGCCACCCACACCAACATCTGCTGTATCAAACCTCTAGGTTTTTGACCGGGGATGTGAGGGAATATATCTTGATTCCAATGTTCAGCGTAATTAAGGCCTACAGCTGATGCTCTTCATATGTAATGAACATTTTCTTTGTAATGTGCTGTATATGTGTCAGCATAAGTTGCGTTCTCTGTGTACTCTAGCCCCCACCAGAGCACTTATTGGAAACTGTACATTGTGTGACTGTTTGCTAGCTAATTTTATCTTGCGACCTTCCTATCTTATGAAATATGTAACCACATATTGTTTTGTAAACAAATTTTATATCTTATGAAATATGTAACCACATTAACTAATTTTATATTTTGACTTTCCTATCTTTAACTACATTATTTATATTTAAACCTTCAAGCTAAGCTGTAACAATATTGTGTATAAATGCGCCTACTTTAACCACCTTATTTTTAGCCTTCAAGCTAAGCTGCGACAATATTGTGTATAAATACACCCTACATTGAATAAACAAACAGAAGTAATTCTGGACTCACAACCATCTGTGTCTTTCATTTATTGCTTCTCCAAGCGCTTGTTGCCAATTTGGAGTCCCCTGAATATAAGGGGTGACCAGCCTTTGATGGTCCATGACAGGGATTGTTGGGGATATGTGTGCTTTTTCTCTTTGCTTTTCTGTAAACTCCAGCCACTCTAAGACTGGTATTACCATTTATTATCCCTTTGCCTATTTCCGCTGTTCGCAATATGATACTGCTTGGCCCATTGATACTGTCAGGGTGCCAAAAGAGTGGGTCAACATCAAAAGAGCAGTCACTAGGTTTGGACTGAAAAGGACCTGCCAACATGGGGTATATCAACGATTGTGGAAATATTACGCTATGCATGTCATATTTTAACTCTCTGTTTTGTTTTGTTTGTTTGTTTGTTTTTTACTTTATAGGCTTTAAATCTAGTTTGGAAAAGGTTTCACTGTATTTTGTACATTAAAAAAAAAAAAAGTCTTGTTCTAGAGAGATTTTGTTTTAGAATCCTCCGATGCATGGGTAGTGATGATTTTGGTACAATTATTCTGTGTAATAAACCGGGGATAAATCATGCCTCACCTCTGGACAGATCATGATCCCTAATCCCTGGTAGAACATTTAGCTGCCTCTCCAAGATTAATGGGAGTTAAATTCTCACACAGCAGCTGCCTCCATAATATCAAACTGAATTAATAGGGGCAGTTGAAATAACTGTATTTCAGGATTTGTCTAGTAGGATGGGATGTTTTATTTTCGGAAGTCATGCAATAATGTCCTTATACTAACATGCGCATTGAATTCCTCTTCTTGATATTTTTTATTTTTTATTTATTCTAGGTATTGGATAACAAACAAAGTCCAAATTAAAAGACCAAGCACTGGCCTCCTAATGTACACACTGGCAACCAGGTTTTGTGACGAAATTTATCTGTACGGATTTTGGCCGTTCCCGAAGGATGTTAATGGAAATCACGTAAAATATCATTACTACGATGAGCTTAAGTATAAATATTTTTCCAATGCGGGCCCTCATCGGATGCCTCTGGAATTCAAGACTTTGAATTTATTACATAACAAAGGAGCACTTAAACTGACAACTGGAAAATGCTTAGAGCAATAAAAATACATTGTAATGCAATGGTTGAATAGAACGAACCATCTTTCTTGGGATATGGTCAGAGCTTTGAAAAGGAGTGCTCTTTATAAAGAATAACAATTTCTTAGGATCCGGAACATAATACTTAAGGCTGGGTTATGATTGGTTGCTGGACTGCCAGTTGCAAGGTGCTATAAACAATGCTAAGAAGCCTGGGTTTTGACGTACAGTAAGTGCCACTTTTGTTAATAAAGAGCCTGAATGTTTAACTAGTGTTTACAAGACCTAAAAATGCAATCACAACTAACTCAAAGAATGAACTTGAATACGTTTCTGCAGCTTGAAGCAACAGATGAGCAGAAAGCTGTAAAGCTCAAGTGACTGGATTTCTATAAAGTTTGAAGAACGTTCGGCTCCTAGTTTACATTCAAATTTGATAATTCTGTATTAATTTAATGGTTTCCACCTGATGATTTGCATTGCACTTGTATTATAGATTTGTAATTTTTTTTTAATTTATTTTAAAAAAAATTTGTTTTTCATAGGGTAGAAATTGCAAATGAATGTAAATAGAAAAGATTAAAAAAAGTAAAAAAATTCTCAGAATACAAAAAAAAGTCAAAAATGGCCTTGAAAGATCATTTTACTAGAGCCTCTTGGTTAACCCTTTAAGTGCCAGAATTTGCCTCCAGAATGACATATTGCATACTATTCCGGCAAACTGTTAAAGTTTAAAAGAAAAAAAAAGTGTGTGGTTTTTTTTTCAAAAAAACTGTAGCTTCATGCCATGCTTAACCCGTTAGCGCAAACTGAACCTTGAGTCGGCCGTGAGTCGGCCACATTGCTACTAAGGAGAAACAAAGACCTTTTTAATTTCAGTATTATTTAAGAATGTTTTATTTAATAAACAATAGGTGCCCTTACTTTTTGGTACCAAAGATTTTAATGATTTTGTATAGATGTGCAACGTTTTCTGTTTATTTTTTTTTATATTACGTAAATATTAAGAAATGTGTGTTTTAGTACTGCAAAGCTATGCTGCTGGAAAATACCTTTAAGTATTGTCTATAATTTTTTTCACTGAAAATGCTCATGATTTTCTTTGTTTTAAAAGTATATTGCATTATTTTGTTATTTGTAACAAAACAATTCACTGTTTTTTTAGGGGCCTGACATTATTTAACAAATGTAAAAGTAAAAAGAACAAACATTTATCGAAGCAAACACATATAAAATATTACAATAGAACAACCCCTGAAAGTAGAATTCCCACAGAAAAAAATTACTGGGGGGTGAGTGCCTTGTGGCTAAAGATTGATTAGATTAGAAACTAAAACTTGAAACCTCAATTTATCCCCAGTGTTAGATATGAACTAATTTGAGGAGCATCCATTTCTTAAAGGAATATTCCAATCACCATAACCACTAATGATTGATGTAATAGTCACAGTGCCACGAGTTCCCCAGCACCCGCCCATTGTACGTTATCAGCATCAGCTGATGAACTTTAATTGTGCAGGCAGGGAGCTGTGCCCGGGGGAGGTGAACTCCAGGTAAATAGTCAAACCTTAGTTCTTAGAGTGTTCCTTGCTAAAAGTCACAATTATGTAACACAATTCTTGTTTAGTTAGTCCACCATAGCCTTTTATATTCAGTCTGTCTCACAGGAAAAGATAGGCCCAAGTATTTCATATCTTACCACAGTACAGGAAAAAAGTACAATAAAAGTAATTACTTATTGACTATGAAGGTCTGAACGTTCATGATCACTAAGACGTTTTGTTTGGTGCATTATAGTAGATAAATTGTACAACGTGAAACTAAATCAGATCTTTAGACAAACATAACGTTGATGATTACCACTTTCCTTATGTTTGGTTTTATGAAGTATACAGCAGTTAAAGCCACCGAAATATATATAATGCTGACTGTTCTGTATTTATAAAGTTGGTCTTTTAAAAATAAAACTGATAGAATTACACTTTGAGTACATGTAAACAAAAAACTTGATGAAAAAATGTGGAAAACGAGCTCCTGGAAAAATGAAGGAAAATTACAATAAATTGCAACTGTAATCATGTGAAACTTCTCACATTACCCAAAATGAATAGTTAGTATCTAGTGCAAAAAGCACAGCTAAAATAGTGCAATATTGTTTAAAAATGGAGCCATGTCCATACTGTGTGTCAGATTGCAATACGATAATCCATTGTAAAAATAAATGTGGCTTCACTTTTGTTAAATGAATTGGACATTTACCTATACGTTTATTTAGGAGTGACTCTGCAATTTACAGATTGTGATTGGCTGTTGACATAACATGCTGTTTGTACCTTTATCTCATTTTATATAGTTTATCGCTAAACGTCAATGAGAGTTTGAAAACTAGGATGTGGGATAGGTTAATCCACACTTCATGTGTTACATAATATGTAAATCCTGAAACACTGTTTAAAAATTTTAAATAAGAAGACTCTGAATACATTCCATTTTTATAACTGATTTTTTAATTGCATTTCATGGCAGATATTGATTTGAGCGATTTATAAGAGGTGGACTTCAAGGTAGGAATCAGCAATTTGCTAGAGATGCTTTGTCCATCAAACTCGTGGTATCTTATTTCAGTGGAAGTGAAGTTGGCTGGATGAGATAATGCACAGATAGGAGTACCAGATGACCACAAACTAGCTATAAATCCATAGGACAATACTGGCCACACTTCAGATTTCCTCACAGTCAAAGTCAAATAACTTAAACTAATGTTAACACTGGATCTATTTCTCCAGTAACTTCATATCCCATAAAAGTGCCCTATTTAAAGGACCACTATAGTGTTAGTAACATAAAGCTGTATTCCTAAAACCATAGTGTCCTTCTGCCCCTCGTTCCCCTCATCTCCCCCACCGGCAATGTAAAGGGTGAAAAAACCCTTGAAATACTTACCTGATTCCAACACAGATGTCCCTTGGTGCTGGGTCTGGCTCCTCCACTTTCATCAGCCTATGGGGGTAGCCTGACGCGAACACCACATGTGTATTTGGCCTTGCCCATAGGAAAAATTGAATCAATGCTTTCCTATCGGGTTTTTCAAGATAGACATCCTCATACAAACCGTGAGGACGTCCAGCGTTGCTTCATGGAGTCAAACTCTATGAAACTGCAAGAAGCACCTCGACACAGCTACCCGAGGCAGTCATAATCCTGCAATGTAAACATTGATGTTTCTCTAAAACTGCAATGTATTAAGTTGCAGGATTATTAGAACAGGTACAGTGCATCCAGACAACTTCAATGAGATGAAGTGGTCTTTGTGTCTATAGTGTGCCTTTAAGTTAATGTTAATTATTGTGTTGGCAAAATCAATGCGTGTTTTATAGCATTTCTATATTATGTGATTGCCAATGCCTTATCATGTGAAATGTGTGGAACCATGATATATTGTGATTTTTTTATATCCATGATATAGTACCCATTACACTAACACAAAACATGGATAAGTCTTTGTTACCCCATACCACAGTTCAATAAATATTGTAACAGAATACCTGTTCGAGACAGAGATGTGGAGGGAGGCTTTAGAATGTCCACCAATATGCCCATTTACATTTAATGTGAGTATAAGATTCTAAATATTCAAATTGAATTTGTGTATTTGTCTAATATTCACATATGCTTTGATTGTAATACATTAAAATATAAAAGTATCCCAAAGTTTACAAAAGTATACAGTGTTACATCGAAGGAACATTCCAAGCACAATAACCACCACAGCATGCTAGAATGGTAATGGTGCGAGGAGTGCCCCCACAATGTTTGCTGCCAGCCGTCTGTCACCTTCTCCGTGAGAGCTGGAAGCTAAACTGATGGTACAGGGCTTAGTTCATTGAGTAAGCGCTATGGGATGACACTCTAAGTCAATGAGCTTGCCCTGCACATCAGGTTTTAGCTCAGGAGTGCGAATCGAAGCTACATGCAGGGGGAAGGGGCTTGTGCTTGGCCGACCCAGCTAAGTTGCCAAAACTATTAGCCAATAGTTTGACTACTTAAATTGGGTATGGTGGGGGAGACAGAGCACGGCTAGCATTATAACTACTACAGCGTGCTTGGAGCACAGTGATAGACATTTAGGGATGTATGAAATTCCAGATGTTTTGTGTCGTACACACCATTTTCAGAACCCTGTTGGTCATTATATCATTATGTATGACAGTTTTACTTTGTATTCTGTTTGCATAGGCAAAGGTGAATAGATCATACCACAAAAATACATAAATAGGATGCATATCATTGAAGTGTGTACATTATTAAAAAATAATGCCATTGTGCCGTTCTGTAGACACAATAGAAACCACAAGACAGAAGGTTAACTGGTTTATAAATGTCTGCAGAACTCCCGAGGACAGCATTATTTTTTCATAACGTAGACTTCACCACTATGTATTTTTTATATATGACGCCTTTTTAAATAATTAAGTACATTGCAAAATATACCAATTAGCTATTGCCTTACACTCTGATACATTAATGTAACTATGAGATAAAGCATTTTGATTGTAAATCTAAATCCCTTTCAAATGTAAGTGTTAGAAAAGTGTTTATATTATGTAACAGCATTAAAGAAAATAGGAGTATTAAAGACAAATTAAAGTCGAGCAGCGAGTATTTTAAGATATTACGGGTTTTGAGGTTAAAATGTTTATATGCTGGTAAATGTTACAAACTACTTAATTTTCTATGTTTTGAACTTGGTTTTTTTCCACACAGCTCCTTATTGAGTTTTAATAAATATAATTTTATTACATTTTAATTTGTTTACATTTTGTGTTCTATTTAGTATCATACAAACTGTTCAGTGGACCAGTATGCAATTTCTGAAGAAGAAATAAGAAAAAGAAAAAAGACAAGGAAGATCTTTGTGGGCATTGGAAAGCCAGGAATTAGAGCACAGGGTATACACATAATGAACATTCTTAATTAGGTCCAGTAGATTGTAGTTAGAGGTATAAAGGATATTTAGGTTAGGTACAGTAGCATAGAAGATTCAGATAATCTTGAGTTGGTAATGGATTGGCATTTGTTTGTATTTAAAAGGTTAAGCAATGTTTTAGATAGAAGAATTGTTATTGTGTATTATGGTTTGTTGTAGGTATGTTGCTTGATACCCAGTTATTTTAAAAATGTTGGTAGAATTTGGGATTATGTTTTCCATAATGGAATTGATTACAATGATGATTTGTGATGTAGAGGAAATATTTGCAGTTTACAGTTTTTACTGTCGGGATTCCAGGAGAAACCAACATAAGGGTAGGAAGGATCTTCAATACCATCTGACAACCTGGGAACCTTCTAAAAGAGTGAGTTCAGGTATTAAAGGGACACTCCATTGCCCAAATAAAAAAAAATTTAAAAATCACTTTTTAAAAGATACACACAAATCTAAACTTGCATGCATTTAATTATGCATTTTCTCATTGAGGGTATACATAAAAACAGCTTGCAAAATCTGCAATTTTCTTGTCTGCAGCCTGTGCAAACCCTCCCCTTCTAACTCCACCCAGACTTTCTGTGTCTGTCCAATCACAGACTTCCCAATGCAGCTCAATGAGAAGTCTTTGCAAGGCAAGTGCTCTGGGTAATTGCTGCCTCTTGAGTTTAGTGCATCTAAGCTAACCAAACCAGGAAGTAACAGGACCTGTTGTCTGCTTGAAAGCTAAGGGGGTTTAACCAGATTAATTTATAAAGGTGTCCGTTTGAAATCTGCACCTTTTGCAAATGAAAAAAACCGAGGACACACTCTTCACACATAAAGCTTTTCAGCAAGCTACAGTGCTTTAGGGATTTGGAGTGTCCCTTTAAGATGGAAGACCAATATTTTTGTAATTGCATTGCAACATTTGTGAAATAGTCTACATAAGTCTCTATGGCCAGTTAAACTCCAGCCAAATGTTTAAGGTGCACCAATTATACTTTCATATTTTCAGCACATAAAGGAGAATCCCTCATTCTACAATACAAAGAACAACCCATATAAAGAAGAGAGTTTGTATAATTTGACATGTTATATAAGAGAATAGCACTCATAAAGAAAGCAGTTGACAATGTCTTAGTTGGAAATGTCTTGTGATTTTGTGTTTTTAGATGTCTGTAATTTATGTAAAGGTTTTGTATTATGACATCCAACAGCACATAGCAGCATGGTTGGAAGTATGACAGGAGAACATATGTCCAGGTGTAAGTACCAAATGGGGAAGGAAGTAAGGTAGGCAACAAAATGTATCATTCTGCTAAAGAGAAGGGATGATCATTTTTAAGCTATTTAGCATTCCAAACCTGCTTGGAGATATTGGTTGAAATTCAGTTGTGTCACTGTTAGTTGGGGGAATATTGGTTGCTGTGATATATAAAATTACGAGTTTAAGGTCTCAAACATTTTCATTTATTGTGGAACAGACAGATCCAAGTAATATTATTTCTCATTTAGTCTATGGGTTGGTAACATATGTGAGGGATATGCTTCTGGGGGGGTAGTTTTAGGCACCAAATGCCAAAGATAGCAAGAGGCTTCTTTAAAAAAAAAAAAAAAAAATCTCATCTAATATTCACAAATAGCGTTAAGTAGACATTCACATGGCGGATTGGCTCACACTATCTCTTGGTATTATGACTATCAATCAGTCTAGAACAGTGTTCTCCAACCCAGTCCTCACAGACTACCAACAGTCCAGGGTTTATGTATTTCCCTGTTTAATTCCAATGGAGATACTGACAAAACCTGCACTGTTGGTGGTCCATGAGCACTGCGTTGGAGAACACTGGTCTAGAATATGTGTATGTCTGGAATGTTCATTGCTATTGCTTAATCATTAGAAGAAAGAGGCAGATTTTTTGCTGGCTCATGTCTATAATTTCTTCTTGTTATGTTATGTTATACACTTGATATGATAATGTGGGGCAAGATAGTGGTTTTAGAACCTTTGTAGTACACATGGAATTCTATTTGATCTGGATTCTTTGCCTAGCTTATATTGGTTAATATGTGTTCACTTATTTTATAGCAAAGTACTGTTTCTCAAGGTAAGTGATATGGAAAACAGTGTAAAAAGTGATTGAGGAAACAGGCTAAGTAGGGCTACTTGTAGAACATTCTCCTAAATCTTGCAAACAATTCTATCTAGGATTAGAGATGTCACGATCTTCCCGCGAACGGCTCGCCACGGTTCGCCACGAACCGTTCGCGGCGAGCTCCGGTCAGCTGACACATCCCGGCCAATCTCCAGCAGACCCTCTCTCACAGACCTTCCCACCTCCTGGACAGCATCCATGTTGAAGCTGACCGGAGCTCGCCGCGAACGGTTCGTGGCGAACCGTGGCGAGCCGTTCGCAGGAAGTTCGCAAACGGTTCGCGACATCTCTATCTAGGATTTGTAAAATGTCTCTGTTTTGTATCATGAGCTCATTCGTGTCTAGTTATTGATTCAGACATCTTGTTGTGCTACTGGTAACATTTTATTTTATGTTTGACAGAGCAAATGTTCTAGGTATTCTGATTTGGCTAATAGCTAGTTTAGTGTTTTCGGTGTGTTTTAGTAAGCCAAGAGAGGTCATTCTTTCTTGATTCTTAGAAAAAGCGTTTCGAGGCAAGGAGTAACGTAGCAAATACAATATTATACATAATATAATTTGGATCAGACATGTTGGCAGGAAAATTCGGTTGGACTTTTTCAGAATGTCTGATGCTCATTTGCATGGCGGAGTGATTTAACTGAATATAGTCAATGGAAATATTTTCAGACATTCCAAAAAGGTGCAATAATGGACCAATCAGTTTACTGCAAAATATATACATAGCCACCATTTGGTTCAAATATCAAATGATAAAAAGTTACCAGTGACTTAACCCTCAAAATACATGCAGCAAAACTATATAGGAAAATTATATAGGTACATTCAGTAGACGCAAAACAATCCACCTTAGTGAATATGTACACTTAGCTGTTCTAATGCTGGAGTAGTATGTTCAAGGTAATAGCAAGCATACCCAGACAGTCTCAGAGCTATTCACGTGTTTATTTGTATCTCAAGCATGACACCTCAATAATAAGGCAGTGACTTTCCTTAAGATGTTTCCTCCATGGCATAAGTAATAAAAAAAGCCATGTGTAGGTACTTGACAAAGAGCTTTTCCCTTGATGTCATAAAATGAGCTATAATTTGACACAACCTATCTAACCAGAAACATTTCTTACAGCACACTTTAGGCAACAAGTTGACATATTGTGAATATTTTCTCTGTAAATGAAGAACAACTTATTATTATTGTATATTCTTTAAAGTGTATATATTCACAGTGCTGGATTGTTCTGTGTCTACATAATTTTGTATATCATGTTGTTATATATTATATTTATTAATTAAATATATAATACATAAATATAGTTTGATTATTTTATTTTTTTACTGCTCCTCCTTTTTTCCATTTATTCATCCCTTCTTACTTGATTTATGAATAAAATCAACATTTAGTTGCTGTTGCTAAGCCATCAAACATCTTTTTTTTTTCTCATCAATCATCTCTAGGACGGAACTCTGAATACCAAAATCAAACGTATATGGTTGGCCATTGCACTAGTCCAGGAGTAGGCAACCTTCGGCACTCTAGATGTTGTGGACTACATCTCCCGTAATTCTCTTACAGTGATACTGCTACCAAAGCATCATGGGAGATGTAGCCCAAAATATCTGTAGTGGCGATGGCTTCGGAGATACAGAATTTGACTGAACAGCAGATCGGACCAAATTACAATTCATCCGATTCTGAATGTACAAGTCTAGTTGGGATAATACTAGGGTTGATATTAATGTTGCTATTGTTATGAAGTCTTTTTACTTCTATTTGTACCCTGTAACATTTATTTTATTGTCAATTACTCATTGAGTATTTAGTTAACAGGGCTAGTGCAGAGGGATCAGAATTATTATTATTTTTTACTCCTACTTGTAGAGTTGCAGGACTAGAACAAACCAAATATACATAACCGAGTTGTACAGTTTTCTTTTAGATGAGGAAAAGCTCTTTAGCTCCTATAACATTCTACCGAGTTTATTTAATAACAAGTGAATCATTTATGTCATAGCATGGTGTCTTTAGTAATTGGTAGCTGAATTTGGCACATTCCAATGATAGAATCAAATTGGCAAGTGTTGTCTAACGTAAAAAGAGTTTGTCATGGAGAGTAGTGTGATAACACGTTTGCAAGTAATTTCCTATAGATCTATATATTGTTTGATACAGTGTTATTGAATACTAAAGAGTGCAGTTTATATCTCTGCACAGTGATCACAGTGATCAACAGTTACATTGATGCTATTACAAAAGCCATAAAACTTTGCATTCTTTTTATCTTTTGTGGACCAATGATGGTCTATGCAATGAGGTGTTTTAAGACACATTTGCAAAATAGATGGGATTTAATTAATGAGGCATGGATATATAGGCCTAACAATTATACAAATTAGGACCAATGGCTGCATAAGGTCTAAATTGTGATGTTTTCAAAATGTAGCATCTGGTCCTTAAAGGATTAAGCTGTATATTTTCACAGCAGAACCTATAGATTAAAGGAACGCTTCATTGCCCCACCTCAAAAAAGATATAGCTCCAATGAAAACATGCATGCATTTTTCTCATTGGTGGTTTATCTAAAAACAGCTTTTGTCTGCAGCCTTTGCAAGCTCTCCCTTTTTTCCCCAGCATAGACCTTCAGTTTGTGTTGAGGAACATTCCGAGTAGTGACTTCTCATTGAGAAGTCGCTGTGCTGGACCCACAAGGAAGCAGTAGAGAAGTTTTATGGCTGTCAATCAAGTGTTTCTGATCCCAATTATAAAGATGCTGATTTCTATTGAAATTAGCACTTTTGGACACAGTCACACATGTTACGGGCTCCAGACACATAAAGCACTTCAGCAAGCTCAAAGTATATGACCTAACTAAAGGGTGGCATGACATCCATCCATATGTTTATGAAAGATATGATCACTTTAAGCAAGACCCTTCCTTATTATTTATTGGTCTCACTTTAGCATATTGTCTACTCTTCATTGATTATTTTTGTTTCACCAAAGTATAAGCAATAATGTTATTTTTAAAAACTTGTATTAAACACGAGGGATACAGTTAATGTACTGAACCAATTTTGTCTGGAAAAAAAAACATTATTTGTGCCATTTTGCTAAATTAATTAAAAGTTGAACTGTGAAATTGGTCTCCAAACAGGCAATCTTAAATTGCACTTTACAAAATAAAAACGATGTACTTTGTGTTTGTACAGTTGTGCGTGAAAACATGTATTGGTTGTTCAGATAGTTAAATAAGGTTGAAAATAATAATGCTAAAGGCATTGCTTTCCAATACAATTAGGACTGATAGTAAAAAGAATCAAGTACTTAGTAAAGATGTTTTATCAAATACAAAATGTTTCATAAAAATCAAGATGATTTAAATTGTTCCTGAAAATGTGCATTGAGTGTTTTCTGAAACACACGGAGGGTTATTCGTTAACATGTGAATTCAAAGTGAATTTTACGTTTTAGGTCACAATGACTGTACTAAAACATAGCTGACTTAAATATATATATATTTTTTAATACGTTCATCTCACATTTGAAATTCACTTTAGGGAATTATCCTGCTGGTATAGAAATTGTGATGAATTCACTTGCCTGAGATCATTTTATGCTTAAGTGTTTTATAATAGTTTCTATCATTTATTTTATTTTTCTTTTGAATACATGTTCACTTGTGTTAGCTATGGAGAATTGCATAGCTAAAATCATGGTATTAATATAAATTTACTTTAAGGGACACTCTAAGCATTAACATTAGCAATGCCAGAACCAGAATTTTTTACATGGTCTTTACTTATCCCCTAAAACTAACAAATATGTTTCTTGTTAGGTCTAAAAAACTAAAATTAAATATAGAAATTAACACAATTAATTTGGGACTGGACACCTCCATTTTGCCTCCCTGGAAGTCATTACAAATGTTACCATTTTCTGGCATTGAACATTGTCATGAAACAGGAGAAACTGAAACAATGGTACCATTCTCCTTATTTGCATTAAATGCCCTAGTTGTGCCCAGACTGAACAAACTTGTGATGTCACTTGTTAAAATTTTTATATACAATTTAGAAGAAAATGGAGCCTGAAGAAACGGTTAACATAACTTATAGATGACTTTCAATGTTTTATTCATAATGTGAATTTCCAAAGAAGTGACCATTTCATACAGGAATGAAAGCGAAATCTCTCTTAACGACAATTTCTGAATTAAATTCATGCTCTGTCATTGCTTATCACTGAAATTAAATGTCACTGTTTAGACATAAAATGTGCAAGGTTATTGGCATTAATTCTGCATAATTGTTTCTAATGCTGTATGAGTTATCAATAAAAAAAACAAAAAACCTTAAAGTCATATTTCTTTTGTTGCAAGTTTTGTCACGGGTTTGCCATTTTTGCATTTTCTTTTTGACAGTATTTGCACATTATTTCCATGCTAGAAGCACTGTTAATGTAGGTAAAAGCACAATTGTTTGTACATAGGGATATAGAACCACTAGACACAGGTTGCTTATTTATGTTTAATTAGATTTTACAGAGTCATTTCTCCTGGTACTTATGACTACATGATATTTTGTAGACATTTGCAATTGTCTCTCATTGAAGATCGCTGTACAATAATTGTCAATTTTTTATGTATAGTTTTTTTTTTATTTAATTGTTTGTACAATTATGAATTATATTAAATTGGTTTTCTAGTCCATCTGTCGTTAAGTCTTTGTTTTTATTGCACTTGTTATAAGTTGATAAGTAACATGAATTAATTTTTCATTCTTCCCCTGACACCGTGTTCTACTTTTGTAAAACAAATTTGGTATAGATATTATTTTTTCGATATTATGAATGTAAGTGGCTATATATACGTAAAGAAATATTATTGCCTAAACAAAATATTCCGCCTTAAGTTTCAAGTTCTATATAAATGATTGTTATATGATCATTGGCTTAAGCTTCCAACTTCTCAGACCAAAAACTTCCATCATGATTGACGGGATTCCTTTTCCTGACTTCAGACAAGAGAATTTCATTGAAGGAGAGACATAAGTCAAAATGTGCCCATTGACTACTTTTTGCCTTATGTTAGCTATTTAAAGCTTTGCGGCACACTAAAAATAATGCCGAATTACCAAACATAAAGACTAGTGCAAGTCTTTGTTTCCTAAATTAAAAATATAATCTTGGTTATAAATTCCATCTGAAATAATCTTTATACTTTAAACCTTAAAAAATAATTTTGTTTTTGTGTTACCAACAGTACATGTGTTAGTTCCAAAAAATATTTTCTTAAGGTATCAATATTTTTTCAAACTGTTTTATGCACCAGGATTAAATTAAAGGTGATGCTCGAAAAATTAGAATATCGCGCAAAAGTTCATTTATTTCAGTAATGCAACGTAAAAGGGGAAACGAATATATGAGATAGACGCATTACATGCAAAGCAAGATAGTTCAATGATTATGGCTCACAGCTCATGAAAACCCCTAATCCACAATCTCAGTAAATTAGAATATTACTTGCAATCAATAAAACAAGGAGTGTGGCACGGCTGAGGTGTTATGGAAGACCAGGATTTGCAAGCTCTCCCTTTTTCCCCCCAGCATAGACCTTCAGTTTGTGTTGAGGAACATTCCGAGTAGTGGCTTCTCATTGAGAAGTCGCTGTGCTGGACCCACGAGGAAGCTTTATGGCTGTCAATCAAGTGTTTCTGATTCCAATTATAAAGATGCTTATTTCTATTGAAATTAGCACTTTTGGACACAGTCACACATGTTACGGGCTCCAGACACATAAAGCACTTCAGCAAGCTCAAAGTATATGACCTAACTAAAGGGTGGCATGACATCAATCCATATGTTTATGAAAGATATGTTCACTTTAACCCCTTAAGGACACAACTTCTGGAATAAAAGGGAATCATGACGGAATATTTCCGTCATGTGTCGCAAGACCCTTCCTTATTATTCATTGGTCTATCTCTCACTTTAGCACATTGTTTACTCTTCATTGATTATTTTTGTTTCACCAAAGTATAAGCAATATTGTTATTTTTAAAAACTTGTATTAAACACGAGGGATACATTTAATGTACTGAACCAATTTTGTCTGGAAAAAAAAAACATTATTTGTGCCATTTTGCTAAATTAATTAAAAGTTGAACTGTGAAATTGGTCTCCAAACAGGCAATCTTAAATTGCACTTTACAAAATAAAAACGATGTACTTTGTGTTTGTACAGTTGTGCGTGAAAACATGTATTGGTTGTTCAGATAGTTAAATAAGGTTGAAAATAATAATGCTAAAGGCATTGCTTTCCAATACAATTAGGACTCATAGTAAAAAGAATCAAGTACTTAGTAAAGATGTTTTATCAAATACAAAATGTTTCATAAAAATCAAGATGATTTAAATTGTTCAACAATAATGGTTTTCTGCACAACTGTCAGGTCAGCAGTCTTCCCCATGATTGTGATTCCTACTGAACCAGACTGAGATACCATTTAAAGGCTCAGAAACCCTTTGCAGGTGTTATGGCTTACTTAGCTGATTAGAGTGGGACACTGTGAGCCTAGAATATCGCACCTTTTCACAATATTCTAATTTAGTGAGATTGTGGATTTGGGGTTTTCATGAGCTGTAAGCCATAATCATCACATTTATGACAAATCACTGCTTGAACTATCTTGCTTTGCATGTAATGTGTCTATCTCATATATTAGTTTCCCCTTTTACGTTGCATTACTGAAATAAATGAACTTTTGCACGATATTCTAATTTTTCAAGTATCACCTGTATGAATGTGTTTTTAGTTGATATAAAAGCTATTGAAAAAGACAAAGTATTGTAGGTTATTTACAGTGCCTAATACTATGATGGCTTTATTACTTGTATACAATGTTCGTTTTAACAGTAAGTGTGTTACTATGAATAATATATTGCGATCCATAATTTTTTTTTTAAATATGTTTTGAGGATGAATGGACAGTACACTAAATAAAATTGGCATGGTTATAAATATTAATTTTAGATTCAAGACCTCATCTCAGGTTGGACATTTTCACATGACCTCACATGCCATCCAAATTGATACCTTGTTTTCTTTCCTTTAACCTCCGACCCCATATCATTTGGCCTATCTACCCTTTATGTCCTGTGGATATTGTTATTGTTATTGTGAAACTGTGGGTTAGGCAAACACAATAATAAAGGGGATACTATGAAATAAGAGGAAACCACATGAAAATGGGAGAATAAAGAATGGAGATAAATTAATGGAAAGGGGAGAAGAATTAGGAAGGCTGAGATAGATGTACTAAGAATGAAAGTGTAACAAGGCTGGGTGAATGGAGGTTAAATGTAGGGAGAGAAAATTGAATAATTAGTGGATAAATAAAAGATGTGGTGGCACAAATAGAATGGGTGTTGTGGATAATGTGATTAGAGGGAACAAATGTGTTCAGGGTTGAAGGATAGAAAGGTAGCAGCAAAGGTGGAGTTTATGGCAATGGCTCATAAGGCTCATTGATAGATGTAGGTAGCAAAGGCTAGTTCACACAGAAGAGTTCAAATTGCTGAAATACATAATGCTGGCCATGATCGAAAGGTTTCATATCATACAGTGCATGCTGGGTGCATGTGTGTCATTTACCTGGGGCAGAGATGGCAATAGGATGCATTATGGAAAGAAGGCAGGCCGACAGAGGATGTATTATGCTCTGGGCAATGTTTAACTGGGAAACCTTGGGTCCTGGCCTTCATGTGGATGTTACTTTGACATGTACCCCCTATCTGGAGATTGTTGCAGACCATGTACACCTCTTCATGGCAATGGTGTTATCTAATAGCAGTGGCACCTTTCAGCTGGATAATGCACCCTGCTACACTGCAAAAATTGGTTAGGAATGGTTTGAGGAACATGACAAAGAGCTCTCCAAATTCCCGAGGTCTCAATCTAATTGAGCATCTGTGGGATGTGCTGGGATAACAAATCCGATCCTTTGAGGCCTTACCTCAGATCTTGCCGGACTTAATGGATTTGCTGCTAATGTCTTGGTGGCAGATACCACAGGACACGTTCAGAGGTCTTGTGGAGTCCATGCCTCGAAGCATCCAAGCTTTGCGACAAAGAAGATGAACAATATTATTTAATGATGTTTACTGTAATAGTTTCTGTAATAGCATGGTGCATTATCCACCTTTCAGCTGGATAATGCACCCCGCTGCACTGCAAAAATTGGTTAGGAATGGTTTGAGGAACATGACAAAGAGCTCAGGGTGTTCCCTTGGCATCTAAATTCCCAAGATCTCAATCTAATTGAGCATCTGTGGGATGTGCTGGGATAACAAATTCGATCCATTGAGGCATTACCTCAGATCTTGCAGGACTTAAAGAATTTGCTGCTAATGTCTTGGAGGCAGATACCACAGGACACGTTCAGAGGTCTTGTGGAGTCCATGTCTCGACACATCAGAGCTTTGCGACAAAGAAGTGGAACAATATGATTTAATCATTTTTACTGTAATAGTTATTCTTTATTTAAAAAATATTTCTGGCATAAACATTTATACTTGAGCTACATTTTATTTCAATTCCATTTTCTGCAATTTATCATTAAGGGGTTCGTTCGAGTTCTATATTATCATTGTCTATTTTAATCATGTAAAACCAGGGATCCCACATCAACTGGCAATTATCCTGGAAATCAAACAGATTGCAAGAATTGTTTTTATATAGTGTATTCCTACACATGTTTATTGGTAATAATCTTAACATTAGCTGCATCAAAATGTCCCATGACCGTAGCGCTGTTGACATCTGGTAGCCATTACTATATTTAACGTAGAGTCTCTATGGGGTTTGTGAAAAATTCATTGACAAATATGTACTTAATTATTGGACATTCAATGGTGGCTGTTTTGAACAGTGTACTTATTTAATGCCTCCATTGCAGGCAGCACCATCACTCATTGCTCATTTTCATAATGTATCAAATTTGTACTTATTTTTTATATATATATATACCGCCCGATGAGAACCAGAATCCATTTAAACATTTTTTTACAAGAATTTCTAAATATTCCTGGAAGAATGCCAAATATGTTTATTAACCTTGCCAAAAATAATTAAGTAAAATTGGATATATTTTTTTAGCTGTATATTATTTTCCAACAGAATTTTTCATCATACTTATTTTTTTTAATTGTATTATATTTATTTCATTTAGTTTGATATTGATATTTTAGTTTAAAATTTTCAAAATATATTGAAATAAAAAAAGAAATGTGAAAAAACATTATAACCAAGGTTTATACAAATGTTTGGTTAAGAAATCTCAAAGCAAACTCCAACCATAGAGGCTGGCTATAATATGTTCAAGGACCCCAAATGAGTCTGTATATCTCACGAGCTGGTAGGTTGTACTGTTAGTCTGTTTTCATATAAATAGTATTGTAGTATTGTTCTGTTCTAAAAGGTACACTTTAAACAGATTATGGCAGACAATGGTGAAATTGAAGGATATCCATATATATTTGGAATATAAATGGAATGTACATTGGAATCAGAAATGTGTTGAGCCCTGTCCCCCACCCACCTTGTGCCCCCCACCCACCTTGGGCTAGCAGTAGTGGTAATACAACCTGCCATTTTTAATTACATTTATCTAATTTTCTTTTTAAATTTTGTAACAATAAAGATATATTTTTCCAATATCTTTGAATCAACTCAGGTTTGAGTAGAAGGAATTTTTCACGTGTGCAAAGTCAGTTTGATGGAGACCCTCTGAATGCACCATGGGGGGATGCCGCAGGAACAGTGAGTTATAAATAATATGGCTACATGGAATTTAACTTTGCAAGACATATAACAGAAGAACTTGCTGTGTAAGAAGAGATCTATGAGGCTACTTTTGAAAGTATATTTACTAAAATGTAATCAGCCGACACCGGATTTGTGGGTGTAAGTGATTACAAGAGTACTGTTCACAAATAGAATACATTTATCAATAATTTGATTAACTGTTTTAACTGTTAGTATTCAACAAACCATGGGTGCTGCATGATGAACAATAACTAAGTGTATCCCCATTCCCAGAGCTTTGTGGATCGTTGGTCCCCTTTAGTGGACACAAGAAAAGATGCCCTGGCTGCATGGTAGCGGCAAGTCTAACCGAAGTTTGTTCTAAACAGACAGTGAAACATACAATGTTTTGGCCTGATGGCCTGAAAGGGACACCAGAAGCACTACACTATCTAGTGGTTCTAAGGCAAAGAGCCTGTCCCTGCAGGCCGAGCGGTGTATATGCTGCCGTTTCTAAGAGTGGCTTCCTAGATGCAGTCCAGCAAAAATTGCTGAGCCGATGTTCAGGATCTTCATGTTCTCCATGGAGATGCTGAACACTCCCCATAGAGATACATTGACTCAATTTTTATGTTTGTAAGGAGATGCTGATTAGTTTGGCATAGTGATAACCGCACATGCAATATTGTCTGGGCTGCTGTCTCTTTCGTGCTGAGGGAACTTGCCAGCATGTCAGATCTAGACTCGCCGTGTGTGTGTTGGATCAGTCTAATATTCAACTTGTATAGGTTCTTTCTTTAATGGCATAAGCAGAAATAACTATTTTGAGAGAAGTTTCTCTAATGCCTTGTTTCCACTGAGCGAAACGGTTCGGGTCGGTACAGTTTGGAAGGGTTAGAATGGTCCAGCCTATTCAGGTGAGCATTTCCACTGCAAGTCGGACCGCCAGGGGGCATGCGGGGTTTAGACCAAATGCCTAGTGTGTCATTTGCCGTGAGCATTGACATTTTCATGTCCGCCAATGAATGGATTGTATAGTGTGACGCCAGTCACTCCGCCCTTACCATACCGTACCATATCCTATGGCCCTACATCTGAAGGAGGCCCAGGAATGGTGCAGTTCGGTTCGGTTGTATGGGCCACTTTCATAATGTAAACACTTAAAATAGCATATCAGACCGAACCGACCCGAACTGTACCGCTCAGTGGAAACGAGGCATTAGCTTCTTTCCATTCTACAAGTTCTCATATTCTATGTTTTACCCTCCCAATTCTTCCCCATAAGGAAGCATAGGATTCGCTGATATCATCAGGATTGATGCTTTGAATTAGCAGAGAGAGGGTAACTGTGGCCAGGATAAATAAAGTAAGTAAAACGTGATTAAGGCCCCCAGGCTAAAATGTATGTTTCACTGCCAGTTATGAAAAAACTACGGTTTAACTTGCTGCTATTGTGCAGCCTTCACATCTGTTCTCCGATTTTTACCTGTCTGTATGACTGTAGTAGATATCATTAAAGGGGCATTCAGCACCAAAACCACTTTATCTTAATGTAATGTTTTTTCTCAAATGCTTCTCATACAGAAGAAGTAAAGCCAACT